AGTTAGCTCCCCCCCCCCCTCACCACCACCACTCAATATTTCATGTAGTCCATACAGTTAGCTCCCCCCCCCCCCCACCACCACCACTCAATATTTCATGTAGTCCATACAGTTAGCTCCCCCCCCCACCACCACCACTCAATATTTCATGTAGTCCATACAGTTAGCTCCCCCCCCCCCCCCCACCACTCAATATTTCATGTAGTCCATACAGTTAGCTCCCCCCCCCCCCCCCCCCCCACCACCACCACTCAATATTTCATGTAGTCCATACAGTTAGCTCCCCCCCCCCCACCACTCAATATTTCATGTAGTCCATACAGTTAGCTCCCCCCCCCCCCTCACCACCACCACTCAATATTTCATATAGTCCATACAGTTAGCTCCCCCCCCCCCCCCACCACTCAATATTTCATGTAGTCCATACAGTTAGCTCCCCCCCCCCCCCCCCCACCACCACCACTCAATATTTCATGTAGTCCATACAGTTAGCTCCCCCCCCCCCCACCACTCAATATTTCATGTAGTCCATACAGTTAGCTCCCCCCCCCCCCTCACCACCACCACTCAATATTTCATGTAGTCCATACAGTTAGCTCCCCCCCCCCCCACCACCACCACTCAATATTTCATGTAGTCCATACAGTTAGCTCCCCCCCCCCACCACCACCACTCAATATTTCATGTAGTCCATACAGTTAGCTCCCCCCCCTCACCACCACCACTCAATATTTCATGTAGTCCATACAGTTAGCTCCCCCCCCCCCCACCACCACCACTCAATATTTCATGTAGTCCATACAGTTAGCTCCCCCCCCCCCACCACTCAATATTTCATGTAGTCCATACAGTTAGCTCCCCCCCCCCCCCACCACCACCACTCAATATTTCATGTAGTCCATACAGTTAGCTCCCCCCCCCACCACTACCACTCAATATTTCATGTAGTCCATACAGTTAGCTCCCCCCCCCCCACCACTCAATATTTCATGTAGTCCATACAGTTAGCTCCCCCCCCCCCCCCCCCCCCCCCCCACTCAATATTTCATGTAGTCCATACAGTTAGCTCCCCCCCCCCCCCACCACCACTACCACTCAATATTTCATGTAGTCCATACAGTTAGCTCCCCCCCCCCCACCACCACCACTCAATATTTCATGTAGTCCATACAGTTAGCTCCCCCCCCCCCCCCCCACCACCACTCAATATTTCATGTAGTCCATACAGTTAGCTCCCCCCCCCTCACCACCACCACTCAATATTTCATGTAGTCCATACAGTTAGCTCCCCCCCCCCCCCTCACCACCACCACTCAATATTTCATGTAGTCCATACAGTTAGCTCCCCCCCCCCCCCCCACCACCACCACTCAATATTTCATGTAGTCCATACAGTTAGCTCCCCCCCCTCACCACCACCACTCAATATTTCATGTAGTCCATACAGTTAGCTCCCCCCCCCCCCCCCACCACCACCACTCAATATTTCATGTAGTCCATACAGTTAGCTCCCCCCCCCCCCCCCCACCACCACCACTCAATATTTCATATAGTCCATACAGTTAGCTCCCCCCCCCCCACCACTACCACTCAATATTTCATGTAGTCCATACAGTTAGCTCCCCCCCCCCCTCACCACCACCACTCAATATTTCATGTAGTCCATACAGTTAGCTCCCCCCCCCTCACCACCACCACTCAATATTTCATGTAGTCCATACAGTTAGCTCCCCCCCCCCCCCCCCCACCACCACCACTCAATATTTCATATAGTCCATACAGTTAGCTCCCCCCCCCCCCCCCCACCACCACCACTCAATATTTCATGTAGTCCATACAGTTAGCTCCCCCCCCCCCCCTCACCACCACCACTCAATATTTCATGTAGTCCATACAGTTAGCTCCCCCCCCCCCCCCCACCACCACCACTCAATATTTCATGTAGTCCATACAGGTTAGCTCCCCCCCCTCACCACCACCACTCAATATTTCATGTAGTCCATACAGTTAGCTCCCCCCCCCCACCACTCAATATTTCATGTAGTCCATACAGTTAGCTCCCCCCCCCCCCCACCACCACCACCACTCAATATTTCATGTAGTCCATACAGTTAGCTCCCCCCCCTCACCACCACCACTCAATATTTCATGTAGTCCATACAGTTAGCTCCCCCCCCCCACCACTCAATATTTCATGTAGTCCATACAGTTAGCTCCCCCCCCCCCCACCACCACCACTCAATATTTCATGTAGTCCATACAGTTAGCTCCCCCCCCTCACCACCACCACTCAATATTTCATGTAGTCCATACAGTTAGCTCCCCCCCCCCCCCCCACCACTCAATATTTCATGTAGTCCATACAGTTAGCTCCCCCCCCCCCCCCACCACCACCACTCAATATTTCATGTAGTCCATACAGTTAGCTCCCCCCCCTCACCACCACCACTCAATATTTCATGTAGTCAATACAGTTAGCTCCCCCCCCCCACCACCACCACTCAATATTTCATGTAGTCCATACAGTTAGCTCCCCCCCCCCCCACCACCACCACCACTCAATATTTCATGTAGTCCATACAGTTAGCTCCCCCCCCCCCTGCCTGCTGATGGAAATCAACGCATACAGGAAGCCGGAAGGTGAGTTATATAATATCTGAAGGAGAACGAAAGTTTTTATAAAGTTTTTGACATAGATCAACCAGATTATCACCAATATCTCCGATAATCATTCAATTATTCATAATAATGAGTTGTTGAATTGTTAAATTTCAGAGCAGCAAGATCGGCAAGCAAGCGAGAGAATTTACAAAAGACTCTTCTCCATTATATCTCCTCCAGTATTGGTTCTTCCGAATGAGGCAATCCTAATAAAAGCTCTTATTCCACAATTTCGGATCAATATTTAATAATAAAACCATTTTTATTTTTAGCTTACGACGAAAAGCATCTAGATATTTATTTGTATCGATAATTTCTAAAACAAAAGATTTAGTTTATGGTTACCTAAGTCTTCTAATAAAAAGATAGAAAGTAATGACGATAAACTTAAGAGCTTTTACCTTTTCAGAAAAAAAAACCATTAAAGACACCAGAATCATAGCTTGATAACCCTAGCCTACCGAGTATCAACAAAGTTTATATGTAAGTTTGAACTTGATGATGAACCTTTAACATTATCAATTTTAACACCACTTTCTGTGATTCGTGAAAACCATGAGAGATAAACCATGGAAACTTTTTTGACTGGGCTGAATGCATTTATGGCCTTTCGACCAGTTCGAAGAAATATAAACGACCAGAATGAAGAAATATAAAATTGCCCAAAGAATAAGAACTTTAGGTCCTGTAATTTGGACCCCCAAGTAGTGTCAAAATCAGTAAATAAATAAATATCGTTGTCTTTTGACGTGGGTAAGACGGAGTCCTGCTCGTAGCATTAAAAAGTCGTGAATATTAACTTTGTTACACAATACAATCCAATTTGTATGTTTTTAACGAGAGCCGTTACACACGGGAATATCGTTATCAACTATTACAATTATTATACCCACGTAATTAATTAGATTTAAATATTTCAGAGCATCTGCAAGACTCAAAAGATGATCATCTGAAAGTCACATATCTTGTATCCCAGAAGGAGAGATTACAACATCCCAGAAGGAACATAACATCCCAGAAGGAACCCAACATCCCAGAAGGAACCTAACAACATCATAAAAGGAACTCAACATCTCAAAAGGAACCTAACATTCCAGAAGGAACCTAACATCCCATCAGGAACCTACAACATCCTCGAAGGAACCTTACAACATTCTAGAAGGAACTCAACATCCCAGAAGGAACCTAAAATCCCAGAAGGAACTCAACGTCCTAGAAGGAACCTAACAACATCCCAGAAGGAACCGAACATCACAAAAGGAACCTAACAACATCCCAGAAGAAAACCCAACATCCCAGAAGAAACCTAACAACACCCTAGAAGGAACTCTACATCCCAGAAGGAACCTAACAACATCCCAGAAAGAACCTGACATCCCAGAAGAAACCTAACAACATCCCAGAAGGAACTCAACATCCCAGAAGGAACCTAACATCCCAGAAGGAACCCAACATCCTAAAAGGAACCCAACATCCCAGAAGGAACCTAACAACATCCTAGAAGGAAAACAACATGCACGAAGGAACCTAACAACATCTTAGAAGGAACTCAACATCCCAGAAGGAACCTAACAACATCCCAGAAGGAACTCAACATCCCAGAAGGAACCTAACAACATCCCAGAAGGAACTCAACATTCTAGAAGGAACCTTACATCTTGGAATGAAACTAACAACATCCCAGATGGAACCTTAAACACACGTATCCACTATCCACGAAAGGCAGGAAATAGAAAACTGTGAACACTAGCATTTAATAATAATTTAACGTTGCCGAACGCCTTTCAGTGCGTTCAATTTTATCAACTACAATGGTCCTAATTTTAGATATTTGACTTGAGATTTTACAGTAAAGGTACGATTTAGTGATACAGCAATACCACAACATGTTAATATGATAACAAATTTAAGATTTTGAATATAACATAATAGGTTGATTAGGACCAATTTCAACTTTTATTTTAAAGTTCTCAGATTTTTCAAAAAGCTCAGATTTTCTCGAAATGCCTTTTAAAAATCATTTTTGACTTCATTTTGCTTTAACGTTTATGTTAAATAGGCTTTCGATCTGGATATTAAGCATCATGATCAGTTACATCAGTAAACATATTTCATTACTTTTTTAATTTAATTTTGATTAGTTTAATTAATGTTAACTAATTGCAGTTCATTTCGTGTTTTAAATGAGGAACAATGTTGTCTTATAATTTGACCTAACATGTATTACTATTTATAGGAATATTTAACATCATTCTCCTCACCACTAAATAAAAGTGTTCATAATTGTACACCTCAACTTTACAATTAATCAATAAACAATTAATTAATAAATAACGCACCCATCGGATGTGAACGAAGGAGGTGTCATCAAACTTATCGAAGTGTAGCGAGGCTCCCCCGTCAATATCCTCCGCTTTACCTACAATCGTACTGGGGTCCTCTATATCCTGCAATTAACCATTAAGTTATTATCAAGTGATTAGGTTTTTTAAACTATTACGAACAAACTGTATAATATATGTATATAGTAGTGTTTAAAGCTGGATGGGGATTATTTAAAGCATATATATAAGTGATACGAAAAGATAGTATTAGCAGGAGCTTTCAAAGTATTAAAAGTGTTTAAAGTATTAAAATGTGTACACTATAATACCTCACAAACTGAGCTAATGTATTCTCACCTCATTGCATGAGATTATGTTCTCAACGTAGTCCAACATGAAGTCAGCCATGTGATACATAGGCTTCATAGTGAGATCATTGATAGCCTGGTCAGTGAGACCCAACGCTTCTCTTGTAGAGGTTGGCAGGGTCTGAAATAGTGAGATCATTGATAGCCTGGTCAGTGAGACCCAACGCTTCTCTTGTAGAGGTTGGCAGGGTCTGAAATAGTGAGATCATTGATAGCCTGGTCAGTGAGACCCAACACTTCTCTTGTAGAGGTTGGCAGGGTCTGAAATAGTGAGATCATTGATAGCCTGGTCAGTGAGACCCAACACTTCTCTTGTAGAGGTTGGCAGGGTCTGAAATAGTGAGATCATTGATAGCCTGGTCAGTGAGACCCAACACTTCTCTTGTAGAGGTTGGCAGGGTCTGAAATAGTGAGATCATTGATAGCCTGGTCAGTGAGACCCAACACTTCTCTTGTAGAGGTTGGCAGGGTCTGAAATAGTGAGATCATTGATAGCCTGGTCAGTGAGACCCAACGCTTCTCTTGTAGAGGTTGGCAGGGTCTGAAATAGTGAGATCATTGATAGCCTGGTCAGTGAGACCCAACACTTCTCTTGTAGAGGTTGGCAGGGTCTGAAATAGTGAGATCATTGATAGCCTGGTCAGTGAGACCCAACGCTTCTCTTGTAGAGGTTGGCAGGGTCTGAAATATTGAGATCATTGATAGCCTGGTCAGTGAGACCCAACGCTTCTCTTGTAGAGGTTGGCAGGGTCTGAAATATTGAGATCATTGATAGCCTGGTCAGTGAGACCCAACGCTTCTCTTGTAGAGGTTGGCAGGGTCTGAAATAGTGAGATCATTGATAGCCTGGTCAGTGAGACCCAACGCTTCTCTTGTAGAGGTTGGCAGGGTCTGAAATATTGAGATCATTGATAGCCTGGTCAGTGAGACCCAACGCTTCTCTTGTAGAGGTTGGCAGGGTCTGAAATAGTGAGATCATTGATAGCCTGGTCAGTGAGACCCAACACTTCTCTTGTAGAGGTTGGCAGGGTCTGAAATATTGAGATCATTGATAGCCTGGTCAGTGAGACCCAACGCTTCTCTTGTAGAGGTTGGCAGGGTCTGAAATAGTGAGATCATTGATAGCCTGGTCAGTGAGACCCAACACTTCTCTTGTAGAGGTTGGCAGGGTCTGAAATAGTGAGATCATTGATAGCCTGGTCAGTGAGACCCAACGCTTCTCTTGTAGAGGTTGGCAGGGTCTGAAATAGTGAGATCATTGATAGCCTGGTCAGTGAGACCCAACGCTTCTCTTGTAGAGGTTGGCAGGGTCTGAAATAGTGAGATCATTGATAGCCTGGTCAGTGAGACCCAACGCTTCTCTTGTAGAGGTTGGCAGGGTCTGAAATAGTGAGATCATTGATAGCCTGGTCAGTGAGACCCAACGCTTCTCTTGTAGAGGTTGGCAGGGTCTGAAATAGCGAGATCATTGATAGCCTGGTCAGTGAGACCCAACGCTTCTCTTGTAGAGGTTGGCAGGGTCTGAAATAGTGAGATCATTGATAGCCTGGTCAGTGAGACCCAACGCTTCTCTTGTAGAGGTTGGCAGGGTCTGAAATAGTGAGATCATTGATAGCCTGGTCAGTGAGACCCAACGCTTCTCTTGTAGAGGTTGGCAGGGTCTGAAATAGTGAGATCATTGATAGCCTGGTCAGTGAGACCCAACGCTTCTCTTGTGGAGGTTGGCAGGGTCTGAAATAGTGAGATCATTGATAGCCTGGTCAGTGAGACCCAACACTTCTCTTGTAGAGGTTGGCAGGGTCTGAAATAGTGAGATCATTGATAGCCTGGTCAGTGAGACCCAACACTTCTCTTGTAGAGGTTGGCAGGGTCTGAAATAGTGAGATCATTGATAGCCTGGTCAGTGAGACCCAACGCTTCTCTTGTAGAGGTTGGCAGGGTCTGAAATAGTGAGATCATTGATAGCCTGGTCAGTGAGACCCAACGCTTCTCTTGTAGAGGTTGGCAGGGTCTGAAATAGTGAGATCATTGATAGCCTGGTCAGTGAGACCCAACGCTTCTCTTGTAGAGGTTGGCAGGGTCTGAAATAGTGAGATCATTGATAGCCTGGTCAGTGAGACCCAACGCTTCTCTTGTAGAGGTTGGCAGGGTCTGAAATAGTGAGATCATTGATAGCCTGGTCAGTGAGACCCAACGCTTCTCTTGTAGAGGTTGGCAGGGTCTGAAATAGTGAGATCATTGATAGCCTGGTCAGTGAGACCCAACACTTCTCTTGTAGAAGTTGGCAGGGTCTGAAATAGTGAGATCATTGATAGCCTGGTCAGTGAGACCCAACGCTTCTCTTGTAGAGGTTGACAGGGTCTGAAATAGTGAGATCATTGATAGCCTGGTCAGTGAGACCCAACACTTCTCTTGTAGAAGTTGGCAGGGTCTGAAATAGTGAGATCATTGATAGCCTGGTCAGTGAGACCCAACGCTTCTCTTGTGGAGGTTGGCAGGGTCTGAAATAGTGAGATCATTGATAGCCTGGTCAGTGAGACCCAACGCTTCTCTTGTAGAGGTTGGCAGGGTCTGAAATAGTGAGATCATTGATAGCCTGGTCAGTGAGACCCAACGCTTCTCTTGTAGAGGTTGGCAGGGTCTGAAATAGTGAGATCATTGATAGCCTGGTCAGTGAGACCCAACGCTTCTCTTGTAGAGGTTGGCAGGGTCTGAAATAGTGAGATCATTGATAGCCTGGTCAGTGAGACCCAACGCTTCTCTTGTAGAGGTTGGCAGGGTCTGAAATAGTGAGATCATTGATAGCCTGGTCAGTGAGACCCAACGCTTCTCTTGTAGAGGTTGGCAGGGTCTGAAATAGTGAGATCATTGATAGCCTGGTCAGTGAGACCCAACGCTTCTCTTTTAGAGGTTGGCAGGGTCTGAAATAGTGAGATCATTGATAGCCTGGTCAGTGAGACCCAACGCTTCTCTTGTAGAGGTTGGCAGGGTCTGAAATAGTGAGATCATTGATAGCCTGGTCAGTGAGACCCAACGCTTCTCTTGTAGAGGTTGGCAGGGTCTGAAATAGTGAGATCATTGATAGCCTGGTCAGTGAGACCCAACGCTTCTCTTGTAGAAGTTGGCAGGGTCTGAAACGTTTTATAGAAATTACATACAATTATTCTACCACAATGTTCAAAGAGAATCACAATCATAGTAATTAGTAATCAATCATAAACCATATACTAACTATGTGTTTTCCGATAATTAGCTACGCTTTAATACCACCAGCGAACATGCTGAAGGGCTCAAAATATCCCTTAATCTACATAACTTAACACAATCTTTACCCTTTAACTATTTTCGTAATCACTGCAAAACTATTAAAAATTAAAGTCACCTTCATCTTCATGTGAAGGTCCATGACAATTCTCCACAGTTGAGAAGCAATGTTCTGCAGCAGCCCCCAATGTGCACCCCGGTGAGCGAGCACCAGAGCCTGGGTCAGACTCACAAAGGTCTGCACTAGGTAGCTGCTGTAACTCATCTTTATCTCTTTTGCTTTGTCGCTTGAGAGACAGTACTTGCTTTGTCTGAAACGCCTTGTTCGTCCAGTTCAGATCAGATTAAATAATATCTTACAAAATAACAGGATCGTATTAGAATATTAGGTATTATATATTAGGACTAGGTGGTCAAAGTACCATGTCCAGTACAGGTCAGATTCAGTTGTATCTAAAAACTTTACCAGCATGGTATTAGGACTTAGGTATTATTATTAGGTATTAACTAGAACTTACAAGGGTTACATTAGGTAATATGTACTCAGACTATCATGATTCATGTACAGTTCAGATCAAATGTTATCAATAAAGATTTAAACAAAAATAACATAATCAATAGAATTAGAATGTGAAAGTGAATAAGGAGCTGCAAAACGTGAAACTGCATCGTAAATCACTAATTTATATTATACCTTGAGGTAACAGAGCTGACACTCCCCTTCTTGCTCATCAGAGCTGTCAGGTTAGTTTTCTCCCTCTCCAGTGAGGGCGAAACGTTCACGTGACCCTGCATTGAGATATGTTACTATGACAACACTCACTGTCCACTGACTACCATATAAGGTAATGTTATCGTAGCTCAACACCTCACAGTTACTTCATCAACTACAGAGCTGATAATATCTTGGCTATTAATAGACAAGTTTTATGTTTTATAAAACATAAGGCGTGGGACGAAACGTCGACAACTATTTGTTTGAAAAACTGAGTGATGAATCTCTTTGTCCCAAAACATCAATTATATGATTGACCCACTCAAAAGAGCGAAAACAGATTAAATTATAAAACATAAGTATCACAAAATGGTATGAGAATGAAAGAATAAACTGCAAAACGAAAGTAGTATAAGATTTACTAATTGACCTCGCGCAGAATATCCTCAATAGGATCATCACTATTGTTCATCATGCTCCCAACGTCACCCACCACGAACATGTTGCTAGGCAACAAGTCGTACTCTCCGCCTGGGAGGCTACTGTTACACAACTGTGACTTTGAACATTCTGAAGGTCACCACCATCAGTTTTAACAGAATTTATTTTATAACTTGCTTTTCCAATTATAATTGTTAGCATATCACAGAAACGGTAATATATATAACGAATACATGATATTACATCGATTCCATCGGATTGCTTAAGTAAAGTTTGCATCAGTAAAGTTTGCATCAGTAAAGTTTGCTTAAGTAAAGTTTGCATAAGTAAAGTTTGCATCAGTAAAGTTTGCTTAAGTAAAGTTGGCATCAGTAAAGTTTGCTTAAGTAAAGTTTGCATCAGTAAAGTTTACATCAGTGAAGTTTGCCTCAGTAAAGTTTGCATCAGTAAAGTTTGCATCAGTAAAGTTTGCATCAGTAAAGTTTGCTTGAGTAAAGTTTGCATCAGTAAAGTTTGCTTAAATAAAGTTTGCTTAAGTAAAGTTTGCATCAGTAAAGTTTGCTTGAGTAAAGTTTGCATCAGTAAAGTTTACATCAGTGAAGTTTGCATCAGTAAAGTTTGCTTAAATAAAGTTTGCTTGAGTAAAGTTTGCATCAGTAAAGTTTGCTTGAGTAAAGTTTGCATCAGTAAAGTTTGCTTAAATAAAGTTTGCTTAAGTAAAGTTTGCATCAGTAAAGTTTGCTTGAGTAAAGTTTGCATCAGTAAAGTTTGCTTAAGTAAAGTTTGCATCAGTAAAGTTTACATCAGTGAAGTTTGCCTCAGTAAAGTTTGCATCAGTAAAGTTTGCATCAGTAAAGTTTGCATCAGTAAAGTTTGCTTGAGTAAAGTTTGCATCAGTAAAGTTTGCTTAAATAAAGTTTGCTTAAGTAAAGTTTGCATCAGTAAAGTTTGCTTGAGTAAAGTTTGCATCAGTAAAGTTTGCTTAAGTAAAGTTTGCATCAGTAAAGTTTACATCAGTGAAGTTTGCCTCAGTAAAGTTTGCTTGAGTAAAGTTTGCTTCAGTAAAGTTTGCATCAGTAAAGTTTGCTTGAGTAAAGTTTGCATCAGTAAAGTTTGCTTAAATAAAGTTTGCTTAAATAAAGTTTGCTTGAGTAAAGTTTGCATCAGTAAAGTTTGCTTAAATAAAGTTTGCTTAAGTAAAGTTTGCATCAGTAAAGTTTGCTTGAGTAAAGTTTGCATCAGTAAAGTTTGCTTAAGTAAAGTTTGCATCAGTAAAGTTTGCATCAGTAAAGTTTGCTTAAGTAAAGTTTGCATCAGTAAAGTTTGCCTAAGTATTAAAGTTTGCGTAAGTAAGTTCAATAAAGTATAATGATAAAGCCACCACAGTACCATGACTAAAATCAGCAGCATCATTAAAAGACTTGACTCTAGTGTCCATCTTATCTTTGAATTGTTGGTAACAGGAGGCGGCAAGTATCACGTTCAGCTGAAAAGTAGTTCTATATTTATATAGTACTCTATACTTAATATATATATAATAAGTAGCTCTATCAGACGAAATAAAATATCACATTTATTTGAATCTGTATTTAATTATTTAAATTGAGAACACGAACAGAAGCTGAAGGTTGCAAAGACTTAAATTTATGACCTCAAGGTCAAATAATTCCATTAGAAAGCACTATGAAACGACTTAAAGTTACAATTTCATGCTTCAGCAGCAAACCTGGGCTCTCCAGGGCATCTCCTCGTGGGTAATAAGACGTAGTCTCTGTATTCTACAGGATCTTCTCCAGGTATCTGGCAGGATGGCTCTGAGTAGCTCTGCAGCCTGGGTAGTCATCATGTTAACACACGGTCACAGCATTATTATGTATTTGTATTGAAGTAATCATAACAAAATCTCTAAAATTTCTGGATTATTTACAATTTGTCGAAAGTTCCTACCGATCAGATTCTTATATATATATCAGATTCTTATTATATGTATAAATCAGACTTAAGTTCAATACACTATTGATCTAGTTAAAAGTTTATAAAAACAAATAAATTCTAAACACTAATATATATATATAAGGGTACAAATTTTCTAAGAAACAAATTTGTTTAAGAGTGTATAAGTTTTTATGAAACGTTATGGAACTTGGTTAAAATAGAAAAATCCAGAGCAAGAAGCTCAAAACATGCATATTATAAGGTCTACAATCTAGACTTGAGAGTCATGCTGGAAGAGAAGAGAACTAGAGTCACACACCTTATATGGTAGTGTCACTATGGTAACACTACCATATAAGGTAATGTTAACGAGATAAGAGCACTGCACTAGAGTAACATACCTGCATTTTATTCTCATCCGGCTGACCCAGAAGTTTAAATGGCTTGATCTAAAATTATATATCAAATAAATTACATCCTTCTCACCGATATATCGAGTTTTATCGGCGCATTCCTATTCAAAATGTTAAAGGCTTAACTTGCACAGCGATCAGCAAATAAATTAGAGAAAGTGAGCATCATATTGAAAAAATATTGAAAATTGAAAAATAAATAAAATTCGAAAAGTATCAATTGACAAGTTTACTGGATGGCTAAAATGTTCACTAATGCATTACTCACCCCTTCCTTTTTGGACATATTTTTGACGCCAGGGGTTTTGTTATCATTCTTCTTAGCAAGAGCAGCATCAGATCCTTTAGCCATCACAGTCTGTTTCAGCATCTGCATATTATTAATGTATCATACAGCAAGTAAAAATAATATATCAAAGTCCTGTTCATTTACCGAAAAAAGAAAAATGCCAATCCTAAACACAGCCATTAATTCAAATAGTTAATGAAACCCTCGAGACCCCAAACACAGCCATTAATTCAAAAAGTAAATGAAAACCTCTAGATTATAAACACAGCTACACAGCCATTACCTCTAGATTCTTAGCCGGTTTAACGTCTTTATTAAGAGCCTTCTGAGCGATGAGAAGGTCGTTACGTCGTGTTAACCAGGCCACAGCCTCACTGCACCAGTCCACCACTAGGTCGGGTCTACTCTCTAGCAGGGCCTTCTCCAGCACACGGACATACAGCTCCAGGAACCGGGACCGGCGTCTGAACTTGTACACTGAGGGAAGGGGGATTAGAGACTCTACTCTCTAGCAGGGCCTTCTCCAGCACACGCACATACAGCTCCAGGAACCGGGACCGGCGTCTGAACTTGTACACTGAGGGGGATTAGAGACTGGAGATATAAGAGTCTGAACTTGTACACTTGCACTGAGGGGGATTAGAGACTGGAGATATAAGAGTCTGAACTTGTACACTGAGGGAAGGGGGGTTAGAGACTGGAGATATAAGAGTCTGAACTTGTACACTGAGGGGGATTAGAGACTGGAGATATAAGAGTCTGAACTTGTACACTGAGGGGGATTAGAGACTGGAGATATAAGAGTCTGAACTTGTACACTGAGGGGGATTAGAGACTGGAGATATAAGAGTCTGAACTTGTACACTGAGGGAAGGGGGGTTAGAGACTGGAGATATAAGAGTCTGAACTTGTACACTGAGGGGGATTAGAGACTGGAGATATAAGAGTCTGAACTTGTACACTGAGGGGGATTAGAGACTGGAGATATAAGAGTCTGAACTTGTACACTGAGGGAAGGGGGATTAGAGACTGGAGATATAAGAGTCTGAACTTGTACACTGAGGGGGATTAGAGACTGGAGATATAAGAGTCTGAACTTGTACACTGAGGGAAGGGGGATTAGAGACTGGAGATATAAGAGTCTGAACTTGTACACTGAGGGGGATTAGAGACTGGAGATATAAGAGTCTGAACTTGTACACTGAGGGAAGGGGGATTAGAGACTGGAGATATAAGAGTCTGAACTTGTACACTGAGGGGATTAGAGACTGGAGAGATGGAGATAAGAGGTCTAGGTGAGATATCAGATAGAATAAACAAGGGAGATAGGAGGATAAGATGGAAGAAAGATAAGTGATCTGTAAAAGAAAAGGAGATACTAGAAGTACAGTACACAAGGGAGATAGGAGGATAAGATGGAAGAAAGATAAGTGACCTATAAAAGAAAAGGAGATACCAGAAGTACACAGCCCAGCAATCCGTTAAATCAAACCTTCTTTTTGAGCTTGATGACTGGACAAGTTAGCGACAGCAGTGTAGAGCAAGTTAAAGTCCTCCTGTCCGGTAAAGTCCGGATCTCCGCTGCTGTTAGTGGGGTAGATTGCACTGTGACGCAGCACGTGCGCTTCAAACGCTTTAACTGTGTCACTCTTAAGGATTGGCGCACCTCCTGGGTCCTGGATCATGTCTTTCAGGTTCCCTTTCTTTTCTTTTCTGATTAGATGTGGTGGTCAAGTTGTGCTGTTATTCAGGTAACTTTTTAAGTTTAATAAGTCATTGGTCAACAAATAAACAGAAATAAACAACTAATAAAAAGGTTATATTCCTTCTTTGATACCCCCCCCCCCCCCCGGCCCCCCCTAAACTGATAAACAAAAACTTACAGCTATCCCACGTGACCACTAATGTGACCATTATGTGACCACTATGTGACCACTATGTGACCACTAATGTGACCAGTGACCACTAATGTGACCACTATGTGACCACTACGTGACCAGTGACCACTATGTGACCACTATGTGACTACTTACCCTGTGTTATCAGTTCTCTTAACAGGTTTCTTCTTGTTATTAGGAGTGATAGCATGAGACTGTTCACTAAGTTCATCATACAAACAATCAAACTGGGTAAGTAGCTCGTGCCCATTCTCACTTATCAGGGCTGCTCCCTCTAACTCTCCCCATTGGTGCAGCGTCTGGTGGGATGTGGAGTTAATTAACTAATTAGCTAATTAGCTAATTAATCGACTAATTATTAGCTTGTAAGGCTCAAGAGTTATGATGAACACAGATTATTATCGAAATAGCAATACAATTTCCGGCCACTAAATTCAGCCATAATCATTCGAATTCATTGAAAAAATTAACAAATCAATTATCAGCCAATTAACTAATTAAGTAATTAACCTTGCTGAGATAGAAAGTGATGACTCCTGTCATGTGTTGTATGTTTCCAGCGTGTTTCTTCTGTTTTACTACCCCAGGAAGCTCTGTCAAAGCAGCGTGACAATACAACAGTACCTTATCAGAGGAAACAAGTTATTTTCAATTATCAAATTTTGTTAATATTGTTGAATTGATAATTTAAATTTGATAGACTATGATTTGATGCTCAATTATGAAAGGTAAGTTCATGACTAGGAGTTGTAAAATATCATGCTATATTATCATGTTTGCTATTCAAATTATCAGAGGACACAGCACAAGTTATTACGATCCAAATAAAATCTTAAACTGTAAGATTCAGAGCTTGCAAGATAGTAAGTTTTACATCATCAATTTGATCGAACTTTTTGTAACAGTCCTAACCTTAAGTGCAGGATAACACATAATGTTATGATGAATAAGGGGAGCAAGTAGACCGTACCTTGAGTGCAGGATAACACATGATGTTATGATGAATAAGGGGAGCAAGTAGACCGTACGTCTGGATAATGGCTTGGGTTCCTAGCTGAGTGTCGTTAATACGGCCTGACAGCTCTATTGCTACCAGGAGCTTCTCGCATAGGCCCAGTCTTGCTAGCTGAAATGTTGTTGTGATGAAAGAAGATGCATCGTATCTGTAGTGGATCAATTTTATTAAAGTGATGATAACGCATATAATTGGTATTACAACTTTACAATATATAATATTAGTATTACAATCTCCCACCTGTTTAGTCTTGAAAGGACCCTGATCACACGTGACATTGCAAAACAGGGCTCCCTCTCTAATAGCAATATCCACTGAAACCAGGATACTCTCAATCAGGTGCCGGATCAGGGTGATAGAGGATCCGTTTATATGCTTCATGTTGAGTCTGGGATAGTTACATCTAACACAACGTTAATTACAGGGTTACTAATTAACACAACGTTAATTACAGGTTTACTAATTAACACAACGTTAATTACAGGGTTACTGATTAACACAACGTTAATTGCAGGGTTACTAATTAACACAACAGTTTGCAATCAATCTTTTCGCTTGTGAGTTGATATCAGTTGTCTCTTATCAGTAAATAGGTAATTGCACTGCCTTTTACTGTGCAGCTTTGCTATACACGAAGTATACACAATATGGAATTTTCGGTCAGTACTCTTCACGAAATGGAGAAACAGATTGAGGACTTATCAGACTCGGTTTTAGCGAAACTTAATTGCAGGAAACTAGAGGACCTCACTCATGACTTGTTCAAGCCAAAAGGCGTGACAAAGGATGTAATAACCGAAATAGTTTTGAAGATGGGGTCTATGATATGTAAATCGAGAACTGTTTTGAGATCAGCAGCAGAGACGCTTGACCAACAGAAATCAGAACAGATAAAAACTCAGAACGAGCTCATCCAATGCAAATCTGGTAAACTAGCTTCAGTGAAGGAGACAGTGAAAACAGAAATGAAACTGTTTACAGATGTTGTGAAGAATAACAGCGTAGCTAATGATATCTCTCCAGCTAAAATCAAAATGGCTGTGAAATCGGCGATTACAGAAGATGATCGGTCGAAAAACTTTATCATCTTCGGGGCCCCAGAACAGCTCGAATGTGAAGAGCAAGAAATGAACGAACGGGATCTCGTGGGTGATATTTGGGGTTTTATGAAGTTCATTGGAAGGCCGACTATAATAAACATTGAGAGAGTGGGAGTAAAGAAGTCTGACAGCCCTCGATCACGGCCGATAAAAGTTACTTTGCGAGATCCTGAAATTGTACGTGAATTTCTGAGCAGAGCAAAAGTCTTGAAATCGGTTGATGTGGCAGACTACAATTTCAACTACAACAAACTCTACTTATCTCCAGACAGGTCGCAGGATGAGCGAATCCCTCGCCAAAAGCTCGTACAGGAAATGAAAGAGGGAATCAAGAAGGACCCGAGCAAGAAATATTACATAAAAAACAACAAAGTTTGTGTCGCTGAGTGACTAATTATTTGAGAAAGTCAAGCATTTGTGTATGTGTTTGACGTTAATTTCATGGAGTTAAAACTTTTTGTATAACTGAGAACAGAGGTTAGAGGAACTACTGATAAGAGTATGATTAGACTGTGTTGCGTTATCAGTTGACTTTTTGCATCACTCTTCTAGATTATACGTAATAGGGTAACTTAGTTATAGAGTAGGATTTTAGTTGTTGCAAGCATTGCACTAAGGTTTTAAGTTAGGTAAGTAGGCCACGAACTGTTGAGCAAACTGGGCTGAAAGCCCAAGCAATATGCAGTTCTGGTCTTGAGGCTATTTTACAATGTTTTATAACATGTGCTTGCAACTAGATCTTGAATGTCGCGTGCCCCACGGGGATTTGATTTATTCATACAATTTATTATATATTGGTTCCAAAGCCCTTATGGGTACCAGCAAAAAACTGGTTTTCAAACAAAAAAAAACAAACAACGTTTATTACTAGGGTTACTAATTAACACAACTTTAATTACAGGTTTACTAATTAAACAACGTTAATTACAGGGTTACTAATTAACACAACGTTAATTACAGGGTTACTAATTAACACAACGTTAATTACAGGGTTACTAATTAACACAACTTTAATTACAGGGTTACTAATTAACACAACTTTAATTACAGGTTTACTAATTAACACAACTTTAATTACAGGGTTACTAATTAACACAACTTTAATTACAGGTTTACTAATTAAACAACGTTAATTACAGGGTTACTAATTAACACAACGTTAATTACAGGGTTACTAATTAACACAACGTTAATTACAGGGTTACTAATTAACACAACGTTAATTACAGGGTTACTAATTAACACAACTTTAATTACAGGGTTACTAATTAACACAACTTTAATTACAGGGTTACTAATTAAACAACGTTAATTACAGGGTTACTAATTAACACAACGTTAATTACAGGGTTACTAATTAACACAACGTTAATTACAGGGTTACTAATTAACACAACGTTAATTACAGGGTAACTAATTAAAACAACGTTAATTACAGGGTTACTAATTAACACAACTTTAATTACAGGGTTACTAATTAACACAACTTTAATTACAGGTTTACTAATTAAACAACGTTAATTACAGGGTTACTAATTAACACAACGTTAATTACAGGGTTACTAATTAACACAACGTTAATTACAGGGTTACTAATTAACACAACTTTAATTACAGGGTTACTAATTAACACAACTTTAATTACAGGGTTACTAATTAACACAACTTTAATTACAGGGTTACTAATTAATCTTTAATGGAATTTTAATTGCGGTAATGTTTCTCTTTTTGCAGGTACCACTTGTGTTTATAATGTTGGATTATTACCCAATATTACGAGACTTAGGACGGATCACTAACACACATAAAAACAGCACAAACAAAAGTATATTTCATTAAAACGTTGTTACAGTACTTTTTAACTCAGTACATTGAAAAGGTTTCAAAGTACAAAACGTGCAGTTACGTGGGCATGTTGATGTCGGTTTTAGAGGAGGTGTGGGGAAGAACAAAGAAGTTCCAGAGTAGAGAGCAAGCTTCCGTTGCTACGGCTAGTGCTCCTTGCTTGTGGCAGATCTGGGGGTGTTATTTATCAATAGTTGTAATATTAATAATATAAGTAGAATTGGACTGCATTAAGGGGGCAGGGGGGGTCTTTATGAAATTTCTCTCGAAATTGATTTTATAGTTGTTTCTAATAGAGGGGAGTGATATCTATCTGCTACTTTTGGTCCCAAGGAAAAATATTGTTCCTAGCCGAAATTATTGCCGGTCAAAGGTCAGCGCTCATGTGTTATTGTATTGCGCGAGCGATTTTCAATCGCGCGCCCTGAAAATCGAGTCTAAAAATCTATCTCCTCCTACATTTTTTGAGTAATCACCCTGAAACTTTCAGAATATGTTCTAAGCACCATTTAGAAACTTTTGCTCTTTTTATAATTTCGAGATAGGCCTTTAAAAAATTTTTATTCCATTTTGAAAATCTTGGACCTGGAAAAATCGTCAAAAAAAGAGGTCAAAGATTTTCAAAATCGAATAATTTTTAAAGGCCTATCTCGAAATTCTAAAAAGAGCAAAAGTTTCTAAATGGTGCTTAGAACATATCCTGAAAGTTTCAGGGTGATTACTCAAAAAATGTAGGAGAAGATAGATTTTTAGACTCGATTTTCAGGCCGCGCGATTGAAAATCGCTCGCGCAATACAATTACACATGAGCGCTGACCTTTGACCGGCAATAATTTCGGCTAGGAACAATATTTTTCCATGGGACCAAAAGTAGCAGATAGATATCACTCCCCTCTATTAGAAACAACTATAAAATCAATTTCGAGAGAAATTTCATAAAGACCCCCCCCCCCCTGCCCCCTTAAGAAGAAGTAATAAGGCAAGCACCCTGCTCCCACCAAAATACAAGGTAGCGTATAAATAAAATCATTTACAGAATACAAATCAAGTAAGAGCTAGACAGACTGGCTGAAGGGAGGAGAGGCCAGTATAGCTCACCTGAATGAGATGCCCACAAGCAGTAAGATGGCTGAACGGGGGAGAGGCCAGTATAGCTCACCTGAATGAGATGCCCACAAGCAGTAAGATGGCTGAACGGAGGAGAGGCCAGTATAGCTCACCTGAATGAGATGCCCACAAGCAGTAAGATGGCTGAACGGAGGAGAGGCCAGTATAGCTCACCTGAATGAGATGCCCACAAGCAGTAAGATGGCTGAACGGAGGAGAGGCCAGTATAGCTCACCTGAATGAGATGCCCACAAGCAGTAAGATGGCTGAACGGAGGAGAGGCCAGTATAGCTCACCTGAATGAGATGCCCACAAGCAGTAAGATGGCTGAACGGAGGAGAGGCCAGTATAGCTCACCTGAATGAGTTGCCCACAAGCAGTAAGATGGCTGAACGGAGGAGAGGCCAGTATAGCTCCCCTGAATGAGATGCCCACAAGCAGTAAGATGGCTGAACGGAGGAGAGGCCAGTATAGCTCACCTGAATGAGATGCCCACAAGCAGTAAGATGGCTGAACGGAGGAGAGGCCAGTATAGCTCACCTGAATGAGTTGCCCACAAGCAGTAAGATGGCTGAACGGAGGAGAGGCCAGTATAGCTCACCTGAATGAGATGCCCACAAGCAGTAAGATGGCTGAACGGAGGAGAGGCCAGTATAGCTCCCCTGAATGAGATGCCCACAAGCAGTAAGATGGCTGAACGGAGGAGAGGCCAGTATAGCTCACCTGAATGAGATGCCCACAAGCAGTAAGATGGCTGAACGGAGGAGAGGCCAGTATAGCTCACCTGAATGAGTTGCCCACAAGCAGTAAGATGGCTGAACGGAGGAGAGGCCAGTATAGCTCACCTGAATGAGATGCCCACAAGCAGTAAGATGGCTGAACGGAGGAGAGGCCAGTATAGCTCACCTGAATGAGATGCCCACAAGCAGTAAGATGGCTGAACGGAGGAGAGGCCAGTATAGCTCACCTGAATGAGATGCCCACAAGCAGTAAGATGGCTGAACGGAGGAGAGGCCAGTATAGCTCCCCTGAATGAGATGCCCACAAGCAGTAAGATGGCTGAACGGAGGAGAGGCCAGTATAGCTCACCTGAATGAGATGCCCACAAGCAGTAAGATGACTGAACGGAGGAGAGGCCAGTATAGGTTTGCTACTATGCCCGATACTCCCAGCTATCAGCTTGCCATGCTCGTCAAAAGCAGCCACAGCAAACTGGTATTTCTCGTAGGGAGTCAGGTTAGAGACAGTCAGTTCGTTTCCCTCTACTGCTGCTACCTCCATTGCTAGTCCTGGGTACAGCTTGTCGTTCATTCGCACTTTTATGTTGCTCCCAGAGGACGACCTCCCGTATAGTCTGTACCACTTTACCTGGGTTATGTACATTTTCATTATGGTTATATTTAATTTTAGTAAATTAAATCTCATTAATTATGAATATCGGAGATAATTAGACACTTGATTATTTGGATCATAATATAATATGGGGACTCTACCTTGACCCCTTTAGGAGCTGTATAAGGAGCAGGTTTGAATGTCATGGTAGTGCTAGTTCTAGAGGTTAGTATCGGAGGGTTAGGGACTGATCCTTGTTGTTCAGTTCCTTGAAGCGAGGTGTGCAGCCTGAAAAGAGGAGGTGAAGATAATTCGTACATAATCAAATAAGGTAGTAATTAGAAGGGACACTTTTGAGAAATGAAGATGTTCTAAGTTGTGTGATTACGGCTACGCTTGACAGTAAAAAATGTTCAATATAATTAAAAATGTTTTGATCGACGCATAAAAGTTTAAAACTAAAATATCGTACATCAAACTAAAAAATGTTTGGTAAAAATCTCACCGTTTTTCTTCAGACCAAGACTTGAGCAGAAGATCGTAGCTGTCCCGTAGGTGTTTCTCAGCTGCTTTTGTTTCAATGGTAGCTAACTGCATCCGAGTTATTGCAAGGAAGAGCGTATTCTTTTTACACCACTCTACTACCTATTATAATCAACCAATTAACACTGATATTTGGTATGTGAAGTAAGTTAGTGGGTTATAAATAGAATTCAGAATTCAGAATGCTATATAAAATTATAATTAATCAGTTACAGCTCACGTCTGAGCCAATGAATTAATCGACCGAAAAGAGAAAAAATCGCTCAATTTTAAGAGGCAAATCTAAAGAGTTTCTAGCAATCAAAAAAACAATTAATATATAGTTAAAATTAGTTATTTAAAATAAGAAAGTAAGAATTAGAGCTTACTTTAGATTCGCTTTTCTCTGCTTTGTGAAGTTGCTGTTGTAATCGTAGATTTACTGCTAACATTTCAAGTTGGAGATCAGCTACTGTGATATTGTGTGCTACGTCTCCTAAAGTGGGAAAATATAAGTACATTATATTATTGGAACTTTGCAATAAGGTTCAAGCTGGGGGGAACCATTATATTATTGGAACTTTGCAATAAGGTTCAAGCTGGGGGAACCATTATATTATTGGAACTTTGCAATAAGATTCAAGCTGGGGGAACCATTATATTATATTGGAACTTTGCAATAAGGTTCAAGCTAGGGGAACCATTATATTATTGGAACTTTGCAATAAGGTTCAAGCTGGGAGGAACCATTATATTATTGGAACTTTGCAATAAGGTTCAAGCTGGGGGGAACCATTATATTATTGGAACTTTGCAATAAGGTTCAAGCTGGGGGGAACCATTATATTATATTGGAACTTTGCAATAAGGTTCAAGCTGGGGGAACCATTATATTATTGGAACTTTGCAATAAGGTTCAAGCTGGGGGAACCATTATATTATTGGAACTTTGCAATAAGGTTCAAGCTGGGGGAACCATTATATTATTGGAACTTTGCAATAAGGTTCAAGCTAGGGGAACCATTATATATTATTGGAACTTTGCAATAAGGTTCAAGCTGGGGGGAACCATTATATTATATTGGAACTTTGCAATAAGGTTCAAGCTGGGAGGAACCATTATATTATATTGGAACTTTGCAATAAGGTTCAAGCTGGGGGAACCATTATATTATTGGAACTTTGCAATAAGGTTCAAGCTGGGGGAACCATTATATTATTGGAACTTTGCAATAAGGTTCAAGCTGGGGGAACCATTATATTATTGGAACTTTGCAATAAGGTTCAAGCTAGGGGAACCATTATATATTATTGGAACTTTGCAATAAGGTTCAAGCTGGGGGAACCATTATATTATATTGGAACTTTGCAATAAGGTTCAAGCTGGGGGGAACCATTATATTATTGGAACTTTGCAATAAGGTTCAAGCTGGGGGGAACCATTATATTATTGGAACTTTGCAATAAGGTTCAAGCTGGGGGGAACCATTATATTATTGGAACTTTGCAATAAGGTTCAAGCTGGGGGGAACCATTATATTATATTGGAACTTTGCAATAAGGTTCAAGCTGGGGGAACCATTATATTATTGGAACTTTGCAATAAGGTTCAAGCTGGGGGAACCATTATATTATTGGAACTTTGCAATAAGGTTCAAGCTGGGGGAACCATTATATTATTGGAACTTTGCAATATAGATTCAAGCTAGGGGAACCATTATATATTATTGGAACTTTGCAATAAGGTTCAAGCTGGGGGGAACCATTATATTATATTGGAACTTTGCAATAAGGTTCAAGCTGGGAGGAACCATTATATTATATTGGAACTTTGCAATAAGGTTCAAGCTGGGGGAACCATTATATTATTGGAACTTTGCAATAAGGTTCAAGCTGGGGGAACCATTATATTATTGGAACTTTGCAATAAGGTTCAAGCTGGGGGGAACCATTATATTATTGGAACTTTGCAATAAGGTTCAAGCTGGGGGGAACCATTGTATTATATTGGAACTTTGCAATAAGGTTCAAGCTGGGGGAACCATTATATTATTGGAACTTTGCAATAAGGTTCAAGCTGGGGGGAACCATTGTATTATATTGGAACTTTGCAATAAGGTTCAAGCTGGGGGAACCATTATATTATTGGAACTTTGCAATAAGGTTCAAGCTGGGGGGAACCATTGTATTATATTGGAACTTTGCAATAAGGTTCAAGCTGGGGGAACCATTATATTATTGGAACTTTGCAATAAGGTTCAAGCTGGGGGGAACCATTGTATTATATTGGAACTTTGCAATAAGGTTCAAGCTGGGGGAACCATTATATTATTGGAACTTTGCAATAAGGTTCAAGCTGGGGGGAACCATTGTATTATATTGGAACTTTGCAATAAGGTTCAAGCTGGGGGATCATTGTTGTAATGCTCCCTAACACTTATAGACACGTGATTCTGGGATCTGATTGATAAATATCAGTCACGTGTACGGACTATGGTTTACCTCTCAACAAGTATCCACATTTATAATTCATACCGTTGTTTAAAATATGAAATAACTAAAGTGTTCCTGACGAACCTTCAGTTTTCCTGCTGAGGGAAGGATCCACAACCAGCATGAGCGGGTCGCAGGTAGCAGTGAGCGCAATCTCCTTGACATTTCGCACCTCCTCCAGCGCTGACACGCTGTTACGCAGTGTTGTGAGCGCGTTTGTTAGAGTGGTTTGGACCTTTGATAGTTTGTCGGGACCCTGTTAGTTGAACGGTCATAAAGTTGAACTGTTGAACTAAGTTGAACATCGGTGTGTCTACTATCTCTGGTTGTAAATATCTTACGCTATATCTCATAGAACCTTGTTGGGGTATACCACTTGAAAGTTGAAAGCAAACTCAACATGGAAATCAATGTGTTACAAGAATTTCCTGAGCTTCAAACAAAAGTTTATTTTCTTTATTAATTATCTATTTAATAAAATACATTCGTAGTCCTTACAGAACGATGCCCGAATAATGATGTCTTCATATTCTTGGCATGAGCTTCAAGTAAGAGTGCTGATTTAAGTGCAATCTCCCCCGGCAACAGAGGGTCTATATTGTAGAGGTTTAACCACAGGGACAGTTCGTTACAATCAGCCATTAGCTCCATCAGCTCTGAAATGTTCTCAGCTACCAAGTATTGTTTCACCTGAGAGTTATTTATTCGTATAGTCATAATATTCATGTTTCTGTTTAGGTCATGATATCGAATTTTAAGATTTTCAGAGTTTAGCCTTATAGGGGCACTTGATAATAAAGATAATAAAGATAGTGCCAATAAAGATAATAAAGATAATAGAGATAATAAAGATAATAAAGATAATAAAGATAATAAAGATAATAAAGATAATAAAGAAAATAAAGATAATAGAGAAAATAAAGATAATAGAGATAATAAAGATAATAAAGATAATAAAGAAAATAAAGATAATAAAGATAATAAAGATAATAAAGATAATAAAGATAATAAAGATAATAAAGATAGCAACAGTGCTTTAACACGAGTAATCTTACAGTCGAAGGAGACACTAGACGGGAGAAGTGATCCTTGAGACTGTGAAGGATCAACAAGACGGCGTCAACCAACATATCCCCTTGCTCCTTCACAAACATCTCCGCACAGTCACTAGCTTTAATATTGCACAGCACTGAGCTCAGGTTTATCAAGGTGAACAGATCATCTTTTTGGTCGCCCCAAATTGATTTTCGTCTTGGTGTGGCACTAGCACGCTCTGCTTGAGTACTTAAACATTGGTTCAAACTGAAGAATACATGTGGTGAATCGTGAGAATTGCGTAGTTTTGTTTATATATAATAATGATCATTGTAAAATGTAAATTGCTATAATATATACTGTACAGCAATAGTATATGTAAGATATTATAATATAATATAGTATATACCCTGAATAATAGCATGATAAATTTGGTAATAATATGCAATTTATCAAGATAATAATTTTGCGTTTAATACCAATAATACCTGTCTAAAGTAGGTGGAGTGCAATGTCCATCCAGCATATTATCTACAAAACAGGTGCTTGGCCGAGTGTCTTTCCTCAACACATTTGAAACACTTTTCATTGCATCTAGCAGCATGATTGTCTCCTTGGTGAAAATATGGTCAACTGTTTCTTCTTCCACCGCCTGAGGAATACAATTACATCATATTATATTATGTACATATAACTTAAGTAGAAATAATCAAAGACTACAATGAATATCAAATACAATCTGGTTTCAGTGACCTAGTATGACGATAACAGTGCCACATTATAAAATACCTCAATCAGTGGGACGAGATAAAAGTGTCACATTATAAAATACCTCAATTAATGGGACGAGATAAAAGTGTCACATTATAAAATACCTCAATTAATGGGACGAGATAACAGTGCAACATTATAAAATACCTCAATTAATGGGACGAGATAACAGTGCCACAATATAAAATACCTCAATCAGTGGGACGAGATAACAGTGCCACGTTATAAAATACCTCAATTAGTGGGACGAGATAACAGTGCCACATTATAGAATACCTCAATTAGTGGGACGAGATAACAGTGCCACATTATAAAATACCTCAATCAGTGGGACGAGATAACAGTGCCATATTATAAAATACCTCAATCAGTGGGACGAGATAACAGTGCCACATTATAAAATACCTCATTTAGTGGGACAAGATAACAGTGCCACATTATAAAATACCTCATTTAGTGGGACGAGATAACAGTGCCACATTATAAAATACCTCAATTAGTGGGACGAGATAACAGTGCCACATTATAGAATACCTCAATTAGTGGGACGAGATAACAGTGCCACATTATAAAATACCTCAATCAGTGGGACGAGATAACAGTGCCACATTATAAAATACCTCAATCAGTGGGACGAGATAACAGTGCCACGTTATAAAATACCTCAATTAGTGGGACGAGATAACAGTGCCACGTTATAAAATACCTCAATTAGTGGGACGAGATGAGAAACAGCCATGGTGTAATAATCCCAGTACTCGTAATTGAAAGCCAGCCTGATGTACTTTAACACTGCACTCATAGACAGTTCGTTACTTCCTACTCTAGCTAGCTGGACTAGGCTGGTTCGTGGAAAGGACTCACACCGGGAGATCAACTCGTACCCAGCTAGAAGGAAATAGCTGTTAATTTACAGCAAGAGTTTTTTATCTCAATTAGTTTTAACAAAATCTCATCTAAATACCATGCTTGTTGAATGGTATTATTAATTGAAGTTAATTATGTAACGCGGAACTCTGTGAATGTTGATAATCGAAGTCAGGTGCCATTTTAAAGTGTTCTGTTAAATCATACACAACTGTTAATTTAAAAAAATTAATTAAATTAATTAAAATTTCATAGAATAATAATTTTAAAATTAGAACAGAATGAAAATATTATTAACAATCTAAAAAGATGAGAAATACAACTTACCGAGTATAAGTTCACCCCATACATCCATAAGAGCATCTCCCCCCTCGGTGGTGTCGAGTTTTGGGGGAGTATACATACACGTTCTCCTACACGGGTCTGACAAAGCCTCTAGAATAGCTAGAAACTGTGAAGAACTACCTTCAAACATATCCATGACCAGCTTTTCAGAAGCGGTTCGAGGAAATGGTAACAACTGCAGCTCTTTCAGGTTCTGTCTTGTTTTTGGCCGGTGTATGATCTTCTTTGGGCGCCTTGATTCAAAGACAACTCTTTTGAAGATTATTGCAGAGAGTTTCACTGTGACCTCTCGAAAAATAGCTTCGGATTCCGGAGTGGGTTCTGACATGCTTTGCTCTTCAATTTTTGCCAGTTGATGAACTTTTTGAAGGCATCGTCTGGCAAAGACTTCAGCAGCATGTGGTTGATTTAAATCTACATAGCTCTGGCACACAGCCGAGTACAAGGAACCTCTCCAAGACAGAAATTTGAGAGTCATCAGAGGAATGACACTCTCCATGCAGACACAGCACCAAACTAAATACTGGAGAGTTTTAGCAGTGTAGCCACAGTCCACAAGCCATTGACTGATTTTGTAGATGTGAACAGTTCCATTGAAAACTAACCAACAATGTCGCTCATGAGGGATGAGGTGCTGGGTAAGCTTCCTAAAGTCATCCAGAACCTCCAGAAGATCAGCCACTGTCTTCTCTGCATTCATGTGAGGGTCTATTATTTCCAAATTCTTTAATGTACATAATCCATTTCCAAAAATAGCCTGACTTGTTTCTTTGACTCTCTGCTCATCTTGAAATCCGGTAGGAAAATATATAGATGAATAATCATCTGTGACTGCACTATCTCTCAGCAGACGCAGGTAATAATCGTAACAGTGCTGCTTTGCCACATTGTATTCTTTCACCTTGAGGAGATAATCTCCTGTGTTAATGAGTTGGGTCAAGAAGTAATCTTTTGGAAGCTTGAGGCTGTAGCTATTCCAGAGGCTAAACAGTGTGTTTGAAAGCCTAGCAGGGCTCTCATCATTGGAACTGGGTTCATCTACTGGACCACCAGCTGAGATAAAATAAAGCTCAGCTTCCTTTGATATTCTATCAACATAACCTGAAATAGTGAAATACAGTATTTTTTTAACATAGGCAAAAGTAGTTATTTTGCTAGTACCATAAAGAGAAATAAAGCTAGGAAATAATCTTCGGGTTGCGATTTGCAGTAAGAGATGTTGAAGAGAGTCGGCAGGAAAGATATAAATCTACAGGACTGTTTCGAAGCTTCACCTTACATTGATAAAAAAGTATACATTCATAAAGTGACACTTACCAATGAACCTTTTTAACTCCTGTACAAAGGCAATCTGTATCGGGTCAATCTTATTTATCTTCTTAGTGTTGAACTCACTGTTTGTGTCAGAGGTAAACTTTGAAAGAGTACCTTGACGTGTCTTAGACATGAAGCTCCTAAATATACTTGAGGTTAGTCAAACCAAATGTTTGCATTTTAAAAAGCCACAATTTCTGAGACAAATGAAGTGAACACTCCATTTTTGCATATTTATAACTATGAAATGAAATAATGTGCTTGTATACCGCCCATATCAGTTGAACAAAAATTTGCCATTTATTACAGAATAAACAAGTTTACAATAAATCAATTTGATATTTAAAGGAATCCTAATTCAATGTGTAATATGGTTGTCACTCTTTGAATAGATTAGATATAGGTTGACGCTGCGCTATTGCTCACACCAAACGGCAACCTAGTAAAAGTTTCAAAGTAAAATAAAGTCACACATTTCTACAAAATATCATCACACTATGAAGGAGTGGAGATAGCAGTGTGGTGCATTAATAGAGTGACAGCCTACTGATTTAGAGTTGTTTTTAAGTGAGCATAATGGGTATATTTTTGAACCTAAAGGCTGCAATATGGCAACTTTAAAATTGGTTCTTTTAATAATTTATTAAATATCAGTTTAAAAATATATATAATAAATCTAGAATCTGTTCACACTGTGAACCAGTCCTATAAAAATTACAAAAACCCTCCTAAATTAAAAATTAAAAACGTCTCAATAATGGAAATAGTCATACAATTTATAAATTTACCAAATTCTTAATATCTACCTAGAAGAAAAAATACCTACCTAAATTAATTTCTACCCGTAATAAACTAAATATTATGTTAAATACATAAATAGTCAGTATCTAAATAAATACATACAGTATCTAAGTAAATACATAGATAGTCAGTTAAATACATAGAGTCAACACACGTTTACCAAAATCAAATGTTTTAATAGGAGGAACCTGTGGGGCCCACAGGTTCCTCCTATTAAAAAAGTGTTGGCCGAGAACACAGGATTAAATTAGTTGAAGGGGATTTTTTTCAAATGACAGCTGCATTATGTCATAATCGCTTGAGGTCCATGCTAAATCATTATAAGCATGTTGCAGCATTAGGAGTGCCTATTGTTTAGGTGCAATTGTTTAGGTGCAATTGTGCTCCAAATTTTGGTGGATCTTGATATAAAGTCATTAGATGGGAGTTGTGAAATGAGAGTGGTTTCCTTTCTAGAAGATAGCTGATAATATTGTTGCAGTGATGTTGGGCACCTTAGTTTTAGTATTTTAAAAACATAAATGTTTTTAAAATACTAAAAAGAATGTATGGACAAGTGCTTGATTGTCAAACTCTCTTGTTATTGCAGAGTCCCTAATTCTATTTAAGGTTTCTCTGCTGGGTTTCTCGTACCCCTGATCAGAGCAGGGGTGACGTCGTGACGAGTGTGGAGGAGAATGAAAACGGGTATTGGGAGGAGTCTGGAGTATGATAGGTGGAATTGGTTCTTTTCGCTGTGTGGCGGGGTGGGACTGGTGGGGATGGGCAGTTTGGTGGTGCGCCTGCTGTTGTGTTTCGACTCCGTTTGAAAGGAACCAGGACGATTTTGACTAATGTGTGCATTTATGAAACAAATGTACAATTTTAACAATTAACATATGAAATTTTCAGCCGTAAAAACTGACCTTTAGCTGTACAAAGTGACCCACAAAGCATCATTGAATTTCATGTTGTAAAATCCTTGATTTACGATGTCAATAATTTGCAGCTCGGTGAGGCCCAATATAATATAAGCCATCAAATATAATTTACAGTGAGCATGAGGAAGGAAAAAAAAGATCCATACGAAGGGAAAGTACTTCAATCAGAGAAAGGGTCTTTGATCCCACTAGTGAATTTACAGTGAGCATGAGGAAGGAAAAAAAGATCCATACGAAGGGAAAGTACTTCAATCAGAGAAAGGGTCTTTGATCCCACTAGTGAATTCACTAGTTTTCACAACATTTGGGTAGGAAAGCGCTCTGCAAAGATTTGATCCCGATTCATGAAGTTAAAATTTGTAACCTTATTTCATATTCTATAGGTTGGCAATCTGAATTATGAATTAGGAAATACGTCCGTCATACGTGTAATCTAAACTGTAAAATTTCTGGTCTCAGAACATACGCAACTAAAACGTGGAATTAAAATTATTCGTATCACGTCGTTACCCCCCTGTTATTGCACAAAATGGTTTTGTGGCGAAAGTGGAAAGGCCAAAAACCACGAATGACGAAGCCGCGCACTTGTGCGCGGCAGGGCTACAACGTGAAACAAAGCATTATGAACTATCAATTTATGAATTTTAAACATTTAGAATACAAGTCAGTTAATGAAATATTTTTATAATAACTTTTACTTTTGCTTTTTGCTTTGGAATTTTTATTTTATCTTTGAATTTATAAATTTAAAGTTTAGGCTCAGCGCCGTCATTGTGATAAGTGACTAGCACTTTCAAATATATAGTATATAGTACACAGGGGGAGCTGAAACCAGTTTTTCGATCAAACATTGCCATTTGTAGTCAAACGTCGCCAACAGTTGCTCTCGTCCAATGAAATCGCTGCATTATGAAAGCAAAGCTTCGCATACGAATATATGTAATTCAATTATGCATAATGGCAGGCAAAATGCAGCGATTTCATTGGACGAGAGCAACTGTTGGCGACGTTTGACTACAAATGGCAGCGTTTGATCGAAAACCTGGTTTTAGCCCCCCCCCCCCCCCCCCCCGTGAGTAAAAAGCGTATTTTACATAGCATATCTAATTTTCATGAGTTTATTATCGGATTTTCAAGTTTTTAACTAAGCTATATATTTACTTGTGAAACAAGCGCGTCACGCAGTACGCGTATACACATGGCTATGTGAATTATGTTTATTATCCCAGCAAACTTTACTGGCAGGGAATTGCGTCTTCACAGCTTGTTGAACTGCGCGCGCGCTCGTAAGTTCATTGAATTTGCACGGTTCAAAAATTCCAAAAAATTCAATTGCACCACGTACCACGAAGTACAATTTAGCCAATCAGCGAACAAGAGCTACTTGCCAGTGATTTAGTTTTATGGGAACCTACGCACGGTAGAGCACAGCAGCGCAAGTAATGGCCGACCAAGACGAACATTTTGTCGAAAACCCAAAACCAGAACTTTCTATTTCTTTTACTTCCGAAGTTAAGCCCCTATCAGTATTCAGTAAGGCTTCCTGGGATGATATTATTATTCATTGTAATATCAAATATGGCAATTGGTAATACAATTTAAATTTTGTTTTACTTAATCCCGATGCAATGTTGGGATTGACTTTGTAGCGCGATGCGTTACTGTGCCGCGCCGCGCACTTAATAAGGCTTCTCTGGCTAGATCGGCGAGATGCGCTACTGTGCCGCGCCGAGCTGCCATGAATTGACATCGTCAATTAAGGATTGACTCAAAAATTTCATTGAATCTTACTATATATTTATATATGAAGCCAAAAAATAATAAGGTTGGGCCAAAAGTCAGTACCCATACGTTGGGTTATATACCTCCGTCGTGTTTTATATTTGAGAGTTGTTGCTTTGCAAATGGTATATTCATACTGTACCTACTTGTTCAAGGATTCCGTCGTTAAAATGTGAAAATTCGAATATTTTAGACCACGCCCATTCGATATTAAAACACCTATAATGTTTTCTCTGAACATAATGAACGCCTAATGTTTTCAGAAACGGTAGATTATTAAATGTTGCATCTGATCTGAAAAATAAGGCAAAACGGAACAGAAATGATGAAGTTATCAAGCATTTTGTGTCTCTCGTTAACAAAATTGACTGGGTGATTATGTGACTGACACGACACCTTGATTGAGCAGTCTTAACGATTCCCATTATAATGTTTAACGGGGTCACCTAATCACGTGATTATGCAAGCCAATCACACATAATAAATAACCTCGTGGCTCGTTATGCTTCATATCTCAGTCATCTGAGAAGCTAGAACTCCCATTTTTTCAGGACAAATGTAATTGAAATACACACACAATTCAATAAAATTTGGCTCGATCCGACTATCCAAACTATCAAATAAATGCGAAAATGAACCTTCATTTGAAAAAATGAACACAAATATTTTTCGAATTGACAAATTCCTCGAACCAGTGGTGCAGTGGTAGTAAGTCATACCAGAAAGAATTATTTCAATTGGGCACTCAGTGACTGAGCTATTATGGGTACAGACTTTTGGCCCACCCTGTATATCTGTTGCGACACCATTTCATCAACTTTAACACGACTTTCCGCGAAAAGTCGCCATCTTAGGGGGCGCAAAATCGTCGTTTGAATGTGGGAAAATTTTGAAAAACTTAACTGAGGTACTAGCAAAACTGCACGTTTTGCTCTAGAAACACACTTGTTTAGAGACTTTACCGGAATATCCTCTTAAATCACCTAATTTGTTCAATTTTAGGGAGGGGCACCAAAAGGGAAGGGGGCGCCAACAGGGGGGCGCATTTTCGGCAGGGGGGGGGGGGGGGGGTGAGGGTTGGGCCAACAGGCAACGTTACGCCACTGGGTCGAATGCTTTAATGGCCTTTTGACCAGTATGAAGAAATTAACAAGAATTTTGACACGGTTACACCACTCATGATCAAATTTCCCTACAATGTAATTTTTTTACTTTATTGTATTCCAGAGTGGTGTTTGGCGCACATAATAATCGTTTATATTATATTAGGGGTGCAGAACTTGAAAAATTCTTTGAAATAGGATTCTTTAAAAGCATGCCGCAATCTTGATCTTAGTTGCTTCTTGAATGTAAATGTAAAGTAACATCTGTTCTTAACTATGTATTCGCTTTTTACCATTCAGTGTCGATCAAATGTTAAATAATCAGCCACGAGTTTATCAGCTGATATCATAATTTAATTTGTTTCGACTTGCTGAATTTTATCACTCTGTAATTTATTAAGCTTTTTTTTTCTTTTAAAAAAAATTTTTTTAAAGAGAGGCTGGGCCAAAAAAGCCCACGAGAGGATAGCATTGAGATGCTCTGCCTACCTCTGGGGTGTGGCAACCCTGGGGAAGGTTGCTGGTGAAATCAGAGTGACTGGTGGAGGATGGTGTAAGTCACCCCGGTCTGATCCAGCTCTTCCGGCACAATGAAGCGTTTGGTGCGGTTTGCAAAATTGACAATCGTGGTGGTTGTCGAATATGTCATTAACAGAGAGGTAGTAGTCCTGGAAATATTGACCTCTAATTTGGGCAATAGCCGGACACTGTCCAAGGAAGTGTGAGACAGTTTCCTCTCCGTCACTGCACATAGGACAAGCGCTGGTGTTTGATTTGCTAATGGTGTGAAGGTGTTTGTTTAAGCCGCAGTGTCCCGTGATGAGGTGAACTGCAGTTCTGTAGTCTTGTCTGTTGTTGATGAGTGTGGTGTTGAGGTTTTTGATGATATTGGCGTGCTTGTGGCCGAGTGTCAGTTTGGTGTGTCTCAGTTATTAAGCTTGTTTCACCAAAATAACACTTACATTGATGATTGATCCGCTCAGATGACTAATATGCTATATTAATGAATAAGAGTGAATTGTAACCCAATGGAAACCTGTGTAACAGTCGTCAAGCGCCAAAAACTGGTTGCTATGCGTATAATTAATTAACACATAACTGGCGTCGCAAGCGCAAAATAGACTCCATACTTATAGGGGAGTGGTTTATATTGCGAAGGAGCAGACTTTTGTCGTCAGCGTAGCGCTGTCGGGCCACCTCATATTATATCCAAACCCGATAACTTATTCCCTACCATCTTTTTGCCTTCGGCAACAATAGGGAAAAAATTGACCAAGGAATAAGAACTTTAGGTCCTGAAATTTGGACCCCAAGAGGTGTTAAAATCAGTAAACGAATAAATATTGTTGTGATCTCTTGACCCCACTTTTATAGGGTTAGACTGGTTCCTGCTAGCCAATATAATGCTTTATACACCCAATTGGGTACTATTATATGTTAATATTTGAGTTGTAAAAGTCTAATTGTATGAATGAAAGTTAAACCGATCTAAATACCATAATATTATCTTGATTGCTATTTTAGCTGAATTTATGAAATAATTTATAATTTCTTTGTTCGCCCTAAATTCCCTTACCCTAAATGAATTATAAGTGTTTATAATACTTTTATAGAATCCAATTGTATCTCATTTTAACATGATCTGTTTTATGATGGACACAGTTGCTCATCTGTTTTCCAAAAGAGCACCCACCGGACCCCTTATGCTAGGATCCTGATAAATATATTGGCCCTTTAGCCTCCTATAATACAACCATCCACTAATATACATTATAAATTAATTCAACTAGACATTAATGATTTACGTCATCACGTCATCTGTTTTCATGATATAACAAAATATAACATGTTATTTCTGCCAGGACGATGTAACAGAATGGAAACCAACTTCTCACGCTGCTCTGGCTGTAAGTTATCAATAATTAGTAATTAGTTATCAATAATTAGTAATAAGTTATCAATAATTAGTAATACGTTATCAATAATTAGTAATACGTTATCAATAATAAGTTAGCAATGATAAGTTATCAATAATAAGTTATCAATAATAAGTTATCAATAATAAGTTATCAATAATAAGTTATCAATAATAAGTAATAAGTTATCGATAATTAATACAAAATTAGGGGGGTTTCATTAATAGACGGTTGTGTTAACAGAATGCAGCTAATTTTGGGTTAGCTATTATTATATATCCTTTATAATAAAGGATGCAAGTTAATCACATCCTCATCGTGATTACCAGTATTTGTTAATTGTCCCTCCTTGAGCAGTTAAAATTTAATACAAGGTTCCGTCTTTGAGTAACCAAGGTGTAAGAAGGTGCATGCTACACGGAAAACTAACTACTAACTCGGTAACATCCTTCTAAACCACTTGACTTGCTGGCAGCCTTCCAATTGGTTATGACGTCACACCACGTGATATGACGTCACACCTCGTGACTTCACACTTTCTGTCTGGTTGGTTGGGTGGTTTTGTGAAACTTGTTGACTGGTTCGTATGGCAGCGTGGAATTTGGCGCCTTCCTGGAGCTATTTGTAACAAGCTTGGTCTTACTCTTGCTCCGCAAGCAACCCAACTCCTACTCTCACTAACTTACTTACTTACTTGCTCCTTGCTTGTATATCGTTAATGTTGTATGCGTTTAAATGACGTGTATTTAGTTAGTAATAATTTGTAATATTGTTTTTAGCTAGTATCTTGAGTATTGTTAAAACCATCAACTAGAATTGGAAGTTCTCCCGTATTTAATAGGAATGTTGCTCCAAGTAATTTGTAATTACTCATCACTAAGCTTCTCGTTATCTGTAACGCTACAAACTACTCGACGTACTCAATTCTCAGAGGAATTAGAAACTATGCAGGTGTCACCTTGTATGTCATAACATTAAATATATATAATATAATATATAATATTATATGGGTGATTCTCATCAAAACCGACCCAAAATTACTCTACACACTCAACCTATTGTCATATAATCATTTTTTTAACGATTTGATTAATTTTTGTACAATCATGTAGAGAATTGGGCGTAGAATAACAGGTCATCAAAATATATAACTAAAATATAACTTAGAAATATAAAATTAAGTTAATACTGCTAAAAAAGGCCAAAAACGGGAGGTGTCAGATAATGTTCCACCCGTAACACAGGCCTTTCAGACACTATAACTCATCTTATGATCAATATTTTTTCACAAAACTTTCTGAAAGGCTTATTTATAGGACAGGTAGTACTTCTAACAAGTTTGGAATCTTTATCTTAGTAGATAAGGAAAATTTAGGCTGATAAAGATCTGGGGCGTCACGCCCGTAACAAACCCGTAACGAACCCGTAACACGTTACGGGCGTAACAAATTCTCAAATGTTACACCCGTAACACGTTACGGGTGTAACAAATTCTCAAATATTACACCCGTAACACGTTACGGGCGTAACAATTTCTCAAATGTTACACCTGTAACACGTTGTTGGTGCAACGAATTTGTAATTAATGTAACACCCGTACAGTTGGTATCAAAATGGTACCAATACTAGTAGGTGTGTAATTTAATGTAAGTACGATGTACTGCAGTAGTGTCTGGAAGAGTAAATATCTTCCTAGATAGGTATGTGATTGAATTCTTCATGATTGAATTTGACACAAGGAAGCAGTGTTATTCTAGTTCAGCTATTCTCCTGAGTCCTCCTCCTCAGTCCTCCTCTTCATCCTCCTCCTTTTCCTCCTCAGTCCTCCTCCTCCTCAGTCCTATTCCTCATCCTTCTCCTTAGTCGTCCTCCTCAGTCCTCTTCCTCCTCAGTCCTCCCCCAGTCCCCCTCCTCCTATTCAGTACTTCTCATTCTCCTCAGTTCTCCTCAGTCCTCCTCCTTCTCAGTCCTCCTCCTCCTCAGTCCTTCTCCTCCTCCTCAGTCCTCCTCCTCATCCTTCTTCTTAGTCCTCCTCCTCCTCAGTTCTCCTCCTTCTCATCCTCCTCCTACTGAGTTCTTCTCCTCCTCCTCCTCCTCCTCCTACCTCTCAGTCCTCCTCCTCAGTCCTCCTCTTTATCCTCCTCCTCTTCCTCTTCAGTCATCCTCTTCCTCCTAAGTCCTCCCCTCCTCAGTCCTCCTCCTACTCCTACTCCGAGCAGTTATCCTCAGTCCTCCTCCTTCTCAGTCCTCCTCCTCCCCCAGTCCCCCTCCTCCTATGCAGTACTTCTCCTCCTTCTCCTCAGTTCTGCTCAGTCCTCCTCCTCAGTCCTCCTCCTCTTCCTCCTCCTCCTGGGTCCTCCTCCTGGGTCCTCCTGATCCTCATCAGTCCTCCTCCTCCTCCTCATCAGTCCTCTTCACCAGTCCTCCTCCTCAGTCCTCCTTCTCCTCATCCTCCTTCTCATTATTCCTCCTCATCCTCCTCATACACCTCCTTCTCCTCATCAGTCCTCCTCCTCAGTCCTCAGTCCTCAGTCCTCCTCCTCCTCCTCCTTGTCCTCAGCTTCAGTCCTCCTCATCAGTCCTCAAAAGTCCTCATCAGTCCTCCTCCTCCCCAGTCCTCCTCCTCCTCCTCATGGGGCATTTTCCTGGGTCCTCCTCCTGGGTCTTCCTCCTCCTCAGTCCTCCTCCTCATCCTTCTCCTTAGTCCTCCTCCTCCTCAGTCCTCCTCCTCCTCAGCCCTCCCCCAGTCCCCTCCTCCTCCTCCTATTCAGTCCTCCTTCTTCTCAGTTCTCCTCAGTCCTCCTCCTCCTCCTCCTCCTGGGTCCTCCTCCTGGGTCCTTTTGATCCTCCTCAGTCCTCTTTCTCCTCCTACTCCTCAATCCTCCTCCTCCTCAGTCCTCCTCTTCCTCCTAAGTCCTCCCTCCTCAGTCCTCCTCCTACTCCTCCTCGTCTTCAGTCCTCCTCATCAGTCCTCCTCCTCCCAAGTCCTCCTCCTCGTCCTCAGTCCTCATCCTCCTTCTTCTCAGTTCTCGTCCTCCTGGGTCGTCCTCCTCCTCAGTCCTCCTGCTTCTCCTCCTCAGTCCTTCTCCTCTTCCTCCTCCTCAGTCCTCTCCCCTGTCACCCTCCTCCTCTCTCCTCCTCCTCCTCCTCTCTCCCTTTCTCCTCAGTCCTCCTCCTTCTCCTCAGTCCTCCTCCTTCTAAGTCCTCCTCCTCCTCCTCCTAATCCCCCTTCTCCTCAGTCCTCCTCCTTCTCCTCAGTCCTCCTCCTCCTCAGTCCTCTTCAGTCTTCCTCTTCCTTCTCCTCAGTTGTCTTCCTCCTCAGTCCTCCCCCAGTCCTCCTCATCTGTCCTCCTTCTCCTCCTCAGTCCTCCTCCTCCTCTTGAGTCCTTCTTCTCCTCCTCCTCCTCCTATTCATTCCTCCTTCTCAGTTCTCCTCCTCAGTCTTACTCCTCCTCAGCCCCCCTCCTCTTCCTCCTCAGTCCCCTCCTCAGTCCCCCTCCTCCTCTTCCTCTCTTTCATCTCTCAATAATTTGTTCAATTTATTATTATTGTTGGTGTTATTGTTTACATAATTTATTGTTATATACTAAAATGCTTTTAAACGCATTTGAGTCTGACTCGAAATGTGCTCAAGAATTTTTGTGTTTAACAAAGTTTTACTCTCCAGTAATATGGAAAAGTTGTTACATGATATTTTTCATAAATGAATTGATTTTCATCCCTTTTTATGCTATTAAATAATGTGTAGACTATTCTTTGTGCCTAATAAAGGATTAAAAGTTTGAGAAAGGACCATGGTCATTAACCGGGCTACCCATTTCTGCAGATAGCCTGTTACAAATTGTGGAGAAAATTTAAATCAAAAGTTACAATTTTTGTCCGTTTTTGTCCGTTCGGTACCCTATTTTCTGAAAACGGACAAAAATTAACGGATAAAAACGGACAAAAAATAACATGATCCCCCCCCCCTACACTTTCGTAAATTTACATTATGTAGCTTAAACTCTAATCGTTTTACTTTGTACAGGTGAAATTTATAAAAGATGATGAATGGGTGAATAATGTACATCAATAAAGTAATAAAGTATACAAACAATCCGTTTGTAACGTGTTACAGGTGTAACATTTGAGAATTTGTAATACCCGTAACATGTTACGGGTGTAACATTTGAGAATTTGTAATACCCGTAACGTGTTACGGGTGTAACATTTGAGAATTTGTTATACCCGTAACGTGTTACGGGTGTAACATTTGAGCATTTGTTACACCCGTAATGCGTTACGGGTGTAACATTTGAGAATTTGTTACACCCGTAATGCGTTACGGGTGTAACAGAAATCGTTACGGGTGTAACACACTTAATTGCCAATTACTCATTAATTGGTGGGGCAATATCTGACCCCTATACAGATTTAAGTAGAGGAACTAACCCGATTTATCATAATGTAATTTTTTTCGTTCTATGATCAACTTTCAAATCCCGTGTTTTTTGGGTCGGTTTTGATGAGAATCACCCATATATTCTCACAGCTTAACAGCTAATAGTAGCTACTTGATAATTAGCACTTTACTTGATATCCTTATATGGTGCAAACTATATAATAGGGATAATAACATAGTATTATATACATTATACAGTATAGTAAACTTTATAGGGATAATAATATAGTTCTATATTACACATTATACATAGTAAACTTTATAGGGATAATAATATAGTATTATATTATACAATACAGTCAACTTTATAGGGATACTAATATATTATTATATTATACAATACAATAAACTTTATAGGGATACATAGTAAACTTTATAGGGATAATAATATAGTATTATATACATTATACATAGTAAACTTTATAGGGATAATAATATAGTATTATATACATTATACATAGTAAACTTTATAGGGATAATCCCCTCAAACCAGGCATTGTGTTAATCAGTATTGTTCTTGTTAACTGTGACTTGTTACTTTGTTAACTGA